CACAGGTTAAAATAACAGTTTATTTTACATGCAAAGGTGTTCAATACCTTGAAAACAAAGATTATGTTGCGTTTGAAAATCTTGCTCTCTTTTTCATAATACATATGCAGATTACCAATAGGTCACCTGGATAACATTCATGCAATCTTTCAGGGGAGGGAGAGGATTCCATATTTTCTCCAAGGGAGGTTGTCCGGGAGCATCTTAGTATGTCTCAAAGGATTAACTCAAGAAGAAAACTTCATGGAAAGTAAGGCATGAAGACATAAATCTCTTATTAAACAAGAAAAGTGATTTTAGAAAAGAAATAAAACACAATAAAGACAAGGACAGGATATCCTCCTAAGCAGAAAAACTACAGGACAACAGGGAACCTGAGAGCCAAAGAAACTACCAAATTGCATCATTTTAGCATCTTTCATTAATATATTAAAACACAATAAATTGATAACATTATCACATGCTTTAAGATCTATAAGGCCTGACCAACACAATTCTTTTTCTTCTGCTTCACATTGTATTTTATAAAGGAATATCCTCGTAAAGATGTCTCCCTATGTTAATAAGACTAAAAAGTGTAACGAAACTAAATGACACATTGAAAATATTGGTGATCATGAAGCAATACCCCGAAGGCTAGACTTGAAACCACAGCTAGTCAAATGCTCTGCTAGCGCCTCTCCTAATTGCTTTTGCCAATTTGGCACAGTTTTTGCTTCAGATACAGGCCAAACTATTGCTGTCTCTGTTGTTAGATTTACAGTAGCAGATGACACTTGAGGCTGTCCTTAAAACAACAGATAAAGAGCATCAATTTAGATACAGAGATGAAAAGCATTAAATGCTTTTGAATTGAAAGAAAACATAGCATTTTAAGAGCAATACATGTTTTCTTTCTTTTATCTTTGTTTTCTATTCATGTTGTTAAGTAAAAGAGAGTATCAGGGATATATAACCTTGAAACCCTGTTTCACATTTCCACTTAATTCAACTTAGGTTTAGGGCTACTTAGGCTGCATTTGGCAGCACGGATGTGGAATGTGAGAGATATTCTACAGGGGAAATAATCATTGATCATTTAAATGTAACTGCTCAATGGTAAGGAGCCCTAAATTTTTAAATTCACAACAAGCCAGAGTTCTTTACCAGGATTATTTGTCTGTTCCTTTTCTACCCCTTAGGTCAAGTGCCATCACCCTTTCTCTCTTGTTGGTGATATTTCCAGAAGGATTTATGATTTTACCAAAAATGTAAATGGCCTCATCAGAGTCCAGGGGCTTAAGGGTCATAAAACTGAAGTTGTATTGTAGAAGAAACATATAAATATTTTAGAATGGTAAATCGCCATGATTTGGCAATTTCCAAAGTCATAACATGGTAAAACACCACGTTTTTATCATAGTATTGATGCCAGATGCAAGACAATCCAATGACCTGGAGCAGTAATTTAGGGAGCTTTGGGCTTGTATGAAGTTCAAAGACGGCAAAATCCCAGGCCACAAGGTACAAGACCAATGTCCTTCTTACATTCTTGGATGGACACTGGACCAACATCATGGTTTCCAGGCTTCAGTAACCCAAGTAATCATTCAAAACACAATCAATCAGTTCCTCCCCGATAAGTTACATCTGCCACTATTTGCCAATGGATTCTCTGCAGTTACTCCTCAGTGCCCCCGCAACACTTTTGGACTCCATCTCCGCCAACTCATTTCCAAGCCATATTCTTATATGCAAGCAATTAAACATATGTGTGAATTTTAATTATGAATTCTGAAGTTTTAGGACCTGAGAATCCAATCTTGCTTTAAAATATCTAAGCAATATTTTGCCGCCATTACATTGTTCAATATAATGCATCCTTATCAAGATCGCCAAGTCCAATCAGTTTGCTGACTAAACTTAAATAACACCCGTAAGATGTGAATACTCCCCACATCTTTCCTTCTAAGACTGCAAAGCAATCAGACAAATTAAAACAGGAGCAACTTACTCGACTCTCTAGAATTCTTTTCACATTAGCTGCACATCCCCCACAGACCATTCCCTATCAGAAACAGCAGGATATAAATTTAAATTTAAAGTAATGAAAACATAAAAAGAAGTAATATCCACCTCAGAGATCACGTAATGGAGTGCGAGAGAAGCTCATACCGCAACATCGAGAATGATAACATCAGGCGAAAGCGCCGAAAGTTCTTTACCACCATCACCAACTAATTTGGGATTGGCGTCTCCCGAATCACCACCGGCGCCACCATCTCCACCACCACCACTCCCCCCTCCAAGCCCGCCATTTCCAGGGCCAGAAGAAGCAAACGGAGCAGCAGAGCTCGAAACACACCGAAAACGATAGGGCAGTCGAGTGACAACCGCACACAAGCTCCTGAGCGAGGGGGAAGAAGAAGCAAAAGAGCTGGAGTTGCGAATAGCATAGTTATGAGAAAGGCATTTAAGCCTGTGATGGAGAAGAACAGTGGGAATGCATTGACTAGAAGGCGCTCTGCAGAAATGGTGATTCAGAGCTCTGAAGAGCGCCATATGCGTGGAATCCATTGCAGTTGCAGAAAGTCCTTCTGCGCCTAGACACCACTATTCTATCCGCCCCCCATCTTCTGGTTCTGGGGGGCGATGACTTGGCGGCTTTGGACTTTTTGGTTAAAAAGGATGACATTTGCAATAGACAAAAAGGATTTCCAGTCGGGACCGTAGAACTATGTTTGAAATTTGGATTTTGAAATTTAACAATAATAACGCACAAATAGTAGTAATACAAAAATATACTACCTCTTGTATTTAATATAAGAACTTATTTAATTTTTATTTTGATACTAAATATAAAATTCTTATTTATTTTGTTTTTCATATTTATACATTTTTTACCAAGATAGTTTTTTTAATAATAGTAGTTCTAGCTAATATATTTGATTAGCAAGCATATTTTAGGAAAGACAATTTATATTTATTACAAATAAATAACTTAACTTATTTTTTTAGTCTGTTCAAATTAGTCAACTAGCTCTTATATTCAGGACTGGAAGTAATAATATTCACATTGAAACCTTAAATAAGATTGACTCTAATAAAAAGTGTGTTTATTAAAAAAAAATAGTAATACAAAAAAATATTGATACAAAAACAATGCACTATATTTATTTGTTATCTTTCATTTAGCGAAACAAATTTGTAGCTTTAGATCTATAACCTCCATCTTAAAAATTGGACTAGACTTAAGAATGCTTAGTTAATTTTAATTTATAAACATTTATCTTTAAGTATAAAATTCATTAATTTTAATTTTAACAATTTTGTGAAATTTTTCAAAAAAAAAATTATTTTATTTAACGTCATTTTAACACTTGTGCATCTTTACAAATGAATTTCATACGGTTTAAGAATTAAATTGCTAGATTAAATTACACAGAAAAAATATTACTAGATTAAATAATGAGGATTCAATTCAAACAAAATAAACTATAGAGCCTGATTAAAAATAGAAGTGAATTATAATTACTGTAGCCACTCCACATTCTGAAATATTAGTTGCATTATGAAACTTGCCCCTAAGTATAAATTAAGATTGTTTCAAAGTCTAAGGGCATGATAAAAAAAAATTTTGGGAAAAATTTGAATTTCTAAACAAATTTATAAAATGAAACAACAAATTTATATGGTAAAAGGACTTATATTTAATGATTTTTTTTGGAGCAGTTTCCTATTTTATAATATAAGATGTTTTGGATAAAGAATTATTTGCTCATTACTTTCGAGGATCACAAAGGTATTTTCTGAAATTTATACTTGTGTTTCAAGATGTAACGCTCCCAACTATAAGTAATGCCTGGCCCAAAAAACCATATTTAATGAAATTTATTAATTTTTATAACTTACTTTTAAAATGTTTTATAAGACATAATGGAGGAGTGCATATTGTTGAAAATACCTAAAACACTCTAAGCTGCATGCATTTTTTTTTTTTTACCTAGAAGCTGCATACATGTATTAAGATCCTTATTTTTGTTGGCAAAAAAAAAATTAAGATCTTTATTTATTGGGTTAATATAATAAAAGGAAACTTAAGAAACTAAAACTTATGATATAAAACTTGTGAAATCAAAATTAAAATGAAAACAAATTTAAATGATCGAAATTTGCATTAACCCTTATTTATTTATGTGAAAATCAACTGCTTCTTTTTTAGTTGATTAGGAATGTTCTTCATAATTAACAACAAAACAAACACCAATTTTTTTAATCCTCTTCAAATTCTTTTTTTGGAGAATCTCAGGAAAAAAATTTAAAATTATTAAATTTCAAATAAGAAATTTTTATAAAAATATGTTGTTACTTGTAAACTCGTTATTATCAAAACTTAGTAAAATATTGTTACGACTTAAATTTTAATAATTTTAAACATTTTTTTGTGTGAAATTCTTCCTTCTGTTTTTTGAAGCCCAACATAGTATTTCTTTTCCAGTTTTTTGTTGTTGCCAACTTCCTTTTGTAATTATAATAACGATGTCCGAGCAATGTATCTACACTTATATATTGATTTGAAAAATAAATAAATAATTCATGTTAAAGCTTATTCTCATAGTCTTGAAAATTTAATTTGCTGAAATTTGGCGAAAAAGATTTGCTGAAAATCCTTATTACAAAATTCATTGCTTAGAGCATCTAAAATTTATTTAAGAATTTAGGTAAAAGTACAACATATTTTTAGCAAGTTTTTCAACTGTATGCATTCAACTGATATTCAACTATATGTAAAATGAAATATATTTGCACATAATTGAGTTGAACGTATGTTGCCCATAAATAAAAAAGAATTGGACTGGTTAAAAATTTGTAACACCCGTTCAAACACTAGAGTCCTAAAATATTTTTGGACAATAAATTTTATAATGTAGAATTTTTTTTCCAGCAATTTCCCCTAATTATCAGGGCATGCATGGTAAAACCGTAAAAGACATGTTTGAATGTTTGATTTTAAAAAAAAAAAGAGATTTAAGGTACATTTGTTATTGATAATCAATCATCAACAACCAACAACTCTACACATGATACATCATTTAATTAACGTGAAAAAAAAAATAAAAGGGGTAATTTGGGGAAAAAAATACTCAATGATAGCCAAGGGGAGCTGGTGCCTCTCTCAATTCCTTTCCTTGATATTGTATATCCTGCATCAAGTAAACGATGACATTAACACAAAAAAAAAAAAAAACGATAACATTAACACGAAAGGAAACCTAATCCTAACAAGAAATTTTATAATAGACTCTATTTTTTAACATATAAATTATAAAATTGATCACAGCAAGTCCCCAGTACCTTTCACTGAGAAAGAGTATATATTATAAAATCTATATATTTTATTCAGGAAAAAAGTTCAAATTTTTTAGGAAAGGACAAATAACACATGGGTCCCAAAAGATTAATTTAATAATGGTAGGTCTCAGAAAATATTGCTGAGGAAATTCTGGGTTGCAAATATATAGAAATTCAAACAATAGTAAATATAAAAACCTTAGTTGTAAATAAAAAATTTAAATAAAAATTACTCCTAAAACGAACTTCAATATTTGTAATTTGTACATCTTATTTGTCAAAAAAAATTCAAGATCTAGATAACACCCCAAAATACCAAACACCCAATTCAACACAACTTTTTAAATGCTTGTTTGGAACGTTGATTGAAAATTTCAAAAGCAGCTTTTTTTAATCATAATTTTCAATATAAAATGTAAGTATATGAAGGTAGTTTTGTCTTAGTTTACATAAAAATACTTATAAGATCACCCCTAACTCTTAATTGAAGAGCCAATTAAAGGTTAGATTTTATCTTAAATATAAGATCCTAATCGATTTTATTTTCCATCTTTTTCAAAAATATTCCTATTAATTGCAAGGTGTTCCTACCGAAGAAATAATTCTAATCATCCAATGTACATAATTGAAGAGGATAGTTTCCGAAATCAACACATATATGTAACAAATAATTAACTTAACTAATTTTCTTAATATCTTCAAATTAATTATCTATAGCTTCTATGTTAATGACTAGAGCCAGTATTTACCTCTAATAATAAGTGCTGATATTAAGTAGTTCCAAACAAAACATCACTGACTCTAGTTCCTCAAAACCAGATCTCTCATAAATGAGAGGAAGGAGAAGGGTAGTGAAGATATGGACAAAAGAAGACTTACAGAAGCAAAGTGATTGACATCACGATGGTGAGCTTCATCAGCACGGATAACAGTAACAACGTCTTTAAGAGTGGCATCCTTAGGAAGCCTCCAATAATCAATAGCAATAGCAGGAGCAGGAACATTCTCCACCTTCCCACTTTCAATGGCCATCAAATGCTCAGTATAAGAATTCACAGCTTCCTCCTCCAAGTACCCAACGAACCTGTGAGCCACTTTTGGGGATATCACGTAGAACAGGAAGAAGGCATTGAAGAACACTCCCTGTGCTGTAATCACCAGTAGCCTCTCGTGCCAGCTTGGCTTTACCAGCTCCGCCATTGTCATTAAGTGCATCCTCTCGTTCTCTGCTTCTTCTAGCAGAGCCTTGATCCACCCTCCGCTGTGCTGGAACTTCCTCAGTGACTTCAGGTGCAGCATCATCCCTCCCACCATCCCCGGCACCCCCGCGATCGTTTCTAGCATCATAGCGTGGCACCGTATCGCTCCTGAAAATTTCATTCTTCACTTCATCAGCATTATAGCAGTCCAGTAATTATTCCAATAAGTTGTCATAGATGAGATATTATGCTTTAAATCAGTATTGACGGGTTTTGAGCTTCTAATGTGTCTCCCTTTAATGCCTTTTACAATACCTATAACTTCCCATATATTTTTTTTAATTTTGTTGTTTGATTATTAAATTCTATGTAAAATCAGTAACATTTAGTGATAAAATGGTGCGGTTTGGATTTTTTTATAATTTTTTTAAAAAAATCTTTAAAATTACACGGTTTTAATTTTTTTATTTTGGTCCTAAATATAAAATCCCAATCCACTTTGACTCTCATATTATTTATTTTTTTTAAGATAATCCTTTAATAATGATAGTTCTAGATAAACAAACCTGAGTTAGTAAGGATATTTTAGGAAAAAAACAACACATATTCATTACAAATAACTAACTTAACTAAGTTTCTTAATCTCTCCAAATAATCAACTGGGTCTTATAATTAAGATCAGAGGTATTACTTCTCAAATGAGTTCTGATCAACTTGCCTCTCTAAACTGGGATATAAAAGACAACTACACACACACACATATATATATATATATGCATATACTGAGACAGGAAAAAGAGCACAAACCTTAAAATACAGATGTGAGAGAACATTAAGGAATTTCACGGTCTTGAAAGCAAGTTTGTCCCCGAAAGTGGTAGGCACATGATGCTTTGTTATATCGATCGACAAATCTGCATGGTAAGTGTCCCATGGCTGCCAAACAAACACATATAATTACTAATCATTCTTAGTTAATTACTCAATTAATCACTGTTTTATACTTAAAAACAACAAAGTTTACAGATGTAAATATCAATCAAATAATTGTCGTTAACTATATAGTACCGCGAAACAGTTCCAAGGCCACTCAGTCCCGTCCTCTCTTTTAATCTTCGGTCGAGAAATCCCCCAGTAGCTTGAAACGGCGCCGTTTCCGTTCTCCTGCTTCTTCTCCGATACCGTTTTCTCCTGCTGCTGCGGCTCCTTCTCAGCCGGAGACGGCGCCAAGGTCGACGACATCCTCGGCCAGTAGCCATAGAGGTGGCGGAGTTTCAGCTCCGGCGCCGCTGATGCTGTCACAAGATGGCGGGTAAAGTTCTGGGATCCGCCGGAGACCAGAACTCGCGCCACCACAGATTTCACCAGAAAGTGCTTCATGATGATGATGATGATGAATTGTTTGTTGACCTACTATATGATTGTGATGAGCCACTTAGAAATAATGGAGACCTTTATATAGAAAGTTGGGAATAATGATTCCTTTCCGTAGTCCATTTTTTATTTACCATTCGGTGGGATGGAGAAGAGCCTCCATTATTGAAGGAAGGAAGGAAGAGTTGCTCAATTACTTTTAACAAAAAAACGCGCGGCGAAGGTGACGAGATCATCTGGACTGTTCCGAGATGGGTGAGCCGTTTGATGGGTCTTAATTTGAATTATTCGACGGCTGGGATCAAATGAAATATAATACTACTACTATTATACCACCCTGAAGGCGCACGTGGTGGGTTGGCTTCGTTGTTTCGCAATAGCAGGATGAATCCAGAATGGATTCAATCGATTATTTTTCTCTTGCCCTCAATTTTTGATAAAAATAAAACGGAAAATATGAAAAGTTGACTTGACTATGAAATTATGTTTATATCCTGTGTGATTAAATGAAATATTCCTCTAATCCTAAATATAAAACCTATTTTATAGTATAATTCACTCTATAAAATGAGTCTTATATTTAGGATTGGAAGGAATAATTAATATAATATAGAACAAAGGGTTTATGATAAATCGAATATGATTTACAGCTGAGATATAGTTCCCACGAAAAATATTGATATATAGTTCTCTTAATAGAAAAATAGACACCATTTCATTTATTTTCCAGCGAGTCCATGGCGCATTTTTACATTTTTAGAAATTAGTGATGGCCAAAACACAATTTCCCAAAGTATTTTTTGATAACATCCTTGTAATTTTGCTATTTTCAAAAGAGAGTAATCGGCCCTCTAATCTCTTTTATCTTTCACATTTGTCTTCTTTAAGATTATTTTTATTAATTGCATACATTAATTACAAAAGTTTATAATATAAAATTTCAGAATTTCTTATCTAATCCTTATATTTATAATCAGATAGAGTATTTCATTAAAAATTTAAGAAATATTTTTTTTAATGAAATTATCATCATGATGAAGGAGCAAGCTTACTAGAAGTTTCCTGGTGCTGGGGAAACGCGCATAATGTGGTGATCAGGTCAATTCAATCAAAACAAAATTGCAATTGGTCAAAAGTGCTGCCATGGGGTATGCTCGCGGCCAAAAATGCTGCTCGTAACGTTTGAAAAGTCAAGACATTTGAATTGACTTTTGGGGCTGCGCTGACTCCCCATCAATGGGAAATTGGGAACAGGAATGGTAAAGATGCTGCGAACTTGCGATTGATGAGGTTGGGGCGCGTCGAATGGTTATTGGTTTAGGGTATGTTTGGGTTATATTTTTATTTGAATTGATTTTTGTAGAAAAGTCAATTTAGTAAGTTAAAATTTGTTTAGATAATCAATTAAAAAAATGTGAAATATTAAATATATATGTATATTATAGTAATATGTAGATAATTTTAAGAGAAATATTAAAATTAAAAGTTATAAATATAAAAGGGAAAACCATTTCACAAAGTATCTAAATCTATATTCTTTCTCAATTTTCAATTTAGTATTGCCTGTTTTTCCTTTAATGAAATAATTTAATTTTGCTTGTTAGTACTGTTAACTTGTATACAAAAGGCACATTGTTAATGTGTATTACTGAGAAAAAATCTGAAAATACTAAAAAATTGGGGGAAAGTTCTCTTATTGAAAATATAATTGGTGAGAAGAATCTAAATCAAAATATAAACATATGTGTGTATAAAATTGCATAGTGTGGATACTCAATGTGTCTAAAAATTTATTAGTTACTTCTTACCAATTAAATTATTAACAAAAAATTTTCTCAATTTTCCCTCAATTTTATAAATATTATCTGAATAATAATGAATATTGAATGATAGATTTATTTTAAAAAAACGACTTCATTAATCTTGAAACCAACTCAAGGGATAAGTAAAAGCAGTCTCTCACTCACTCATGAGGACTCCATTCTTATGGTGCAGAAAGCAAAAGAAACAAAATACATAGCATGTAAAAAATTAGTCACTTTACCAATAGAGGGTTGGGTCTATTGAATACTAGTTCTTTATAACGTGGTGAACTAAAATTCGAATTCTCGCTGGGAGAGGTACTCACATTTAGTGTCCGACAGTGTTTCGAATATGATTGTCTCTAATAGAAAAATACATATACTTCAGCCAAAAAAAAAAATTAGTCACTTTAGAGCATAAAGCCCATTTACTTACATCGCCCATACAAACAAGAATTTTAAGTTTAAAGTTAATTTTTGCAGTCCGTTTGGGGCTCGCTAATGTAAATAGCAAACATACCCTTAGTGCAAAACGTCATTGGGTTTGCCTCTGCACAATATTTGTGTAAGTCAACAAAAAAATTACTTAAATTAACATTTGAAAAAGTCATTTGTATCCATGCTAATACATTTGGATAGACTTTTATTAAAAATATTTGACAAAAAAATTATTTGAGTGATAAGATTCAAATTCGAAAAAAGTCAAAAATTATCTTAGCTTTAAATTGTCTTTTTTCTTTTCAAATGAAAACTGAAATCCACTGAAACAGAGAGGACAGCAAAAAGAGAGAGCTATTTTTTTTTTTAAATATACAAGAGAAAGCCAATTTCTTTGACAGATTCCGTGTTGAAAAAAAGGAAAATCGCAACAACAAAAAAACCATAACAATTGCAAAATCATAAGTTGGGCTCGTTACAAAACTTTCATAGGTTTTGATGATAATTGGATTGTAAATTACAACAAATTTTTGATAAAATACCTGATTTGCAATCTCGTAATTTTATGGTTTTTTTTTTTTTCAATTTTCCCTTAAAAAAACTCAATTTCTGAACTTATCACTCCGCCCTAATCACAACTTTTTTTTCTTAATTATAGGTATATTCCTGTTGGATGAAATCTTACTTGTGTTACTGTTAATTGTTAAATACTAAAAGTTGACACTTCTTCTAATAAAAATTCAAATTTTAGTTCATCGGGTGACAAATTATGTTATGTTAAAATTGGTGCAGATTTTTTGAACCAGGCCTCTCTTTTTCTCTTCCCCTCCGTTGCTGTCTGCCGCCTTTTTTTATTTTTATTTTCTTTCTTTCTCAACTCTCCTCCAAGCCTTGCTACGTTGCATCTTCCTCCCTCTTTCTCCTTAACCTGAACACATCATCCATGACTGCGTCCCAAGGACAAAATGAAAAAACCCAAAAAAAAAGAAGAAGAAAAAGGTATACACACATGCAAATCTTTATTTCTGTTATCTTGATATAATTGATTTTATTGTTAACTCTTATCAGTTTTTCTCAATCATAAATATCCTATACTCATGGTTTTTTAATTATGACTAATGTAAATATGGATTATACAACATATAAGTTGCCAAAAAAAAATATCAAGTGTAAAAAATTACTACTTTCAGTCCTTGTTAATAATGTGCTATAAAATAAAAACCTCTTAACATATACAGTCATAATAGAAACTTTTTAGAAAAGAATAAATAAATACGTGTCGCAAAGTGAATTAGTATTTTATATTTATGATCAAATTAAATCTCGAACTAACTCTTATATTTAGAACGGAGGTAGTATTATGTTTATCTTAATCTAGACCATCCAAGTCTTGAATGATTCAAATTCAGTTTAACATTTTATAATTTTAAATAACCCATAGTAATTCATATTATGACTACACATGTTAAAGAGTTTCTATTGTAATACATATGATTAACAAATGTATTTTAAGACGAACAACATTTATTTATTACAAATAACTAACTCTAACAAAAAAATTTAACTAATTTTCTTAATATTTACAAATTGATTATTTAGTTTTTATATTCAAGACTAGAAGTAGTAATATTTTTTTACATTTGGTAATTCTTTGGTAATCCATATTTACATTAGTCATAATTAACAAATCATGAGTATAGGATATTTATGATTGAGAAAAACTGATAAAGAGTTAACAATAAAATCAATTATATCAAGATCATAGAAATAAAGATATGTCTGCATGTTTACCTTTTCGTTTTTTTCATTTTTTTTTCCCGGGTTTTGTTATATTGTCCTGGGAGCATAGATGAGGTGCTTAAGGACAAGGTGGGAGGAGGAGGCAATATGGTAAGGCTTGGCGGAAGCGGAATAAAAAAGAAAGCAGAGAAGCCCAGCCCAGATTTTTTATGGCCCTGCCTGTTTCCAGAATTTTCAATCGGACCCAGCCCAGCCAGTTTAGAAATGCTGATGGGCCCGAGTTAGAACAAAATATTTTGGGACAATATTTTAAATTTGAAACCAACAAAAACATTATTCAGAGAAAAAAGTATAAATAATTTTATTAGACCTAGTGCGCGTTTGGGTAAAACAAAATTATAGTTTAGAAAATAAATTCTTAAAAAAATTATTTTGAGAATAGATTTTGTAAAAAAATATTTAGATAAAGTGAGAGTATTTAGAAAACTATTGTCATAATCACTTTTTTCATATACTAATTAGTAAAAGAGATATAATTAATATGATAATTACATAAAACATATATTTTTATTTTTATTTTTATTTAAAATAATATATTTGTTGCTAACATAATAAATAGTATATATAAAATATAATTAATTAATAATTAATATGTGTATAATTTATTGCCCAAAACCGGGGTTTTCAGGCCAAATTATGGTTTAATAAAAATATACAATGTTTGAATCTTTTTAGACCAACCTATAGTTTGCGATCTAAAAATACTTTCGGCTAGTTTCCGATAAACACACCTCATCCCCAAACCTTCTTCATCTGATTATATGCAATAGTCATAATTACTTAATGTAAATTGTAAATTGTAACTTCATCCCAAAACCACCTTTATAAGATTAGTTACGGACATTAATGTTGCAGGTTGCTCTAATTGCATTGACCACTGCAAATTGTCAATGGCCTAAATAAGAGAAGTTACTAATGATCCTTAATATAAAAACTGCTTAATTAATTTAAGTAAATTAATAAAATTAATTAATTTAGCTATTTGTAATAAATAGAAGTTGATTTTTACAAAGTATCTCTTTTAATCATAACTATCCTTAAATGAAAACTTCCTAATATGCATATAATTAGTAGAGATACTTTAAATAATAAATTAC